TTTTTTCAAAGCCAGGTGTGGTGTCGGGAGGCAGAGGCAGGTGGATCTCTGTGAGTTCAAGGCCAGCTGGGGCTACAGGGAAACCCTGTTTCAAAAAGACAAAAAAAAATTTTTTTGTTGAATTTATGATTTGGAATTTGGAAAATAAGTGTGTTGGTATAATAAAGTTTACAAGAACTTTTTCTTAACCATTATGGTGAAAATACATTGTACTGAAAAGTTACACATTCTTTTATATAAATGAATTCTTTTAGGATAAAGAATTGGTGATGATCTCTTTTTCTTTTTTCTTTTTTCTTTTTTTTTTTTTTGGTCTTTTTTTTGAGACAGGGTCTCCCAGTAGCCCCAGCTGGCCTCAAACTCACTATGTAGACCAGGCTGGCCTTGAACTCACAGAGATCCACCTGCCTCTGCCTCCCAAGTGCTGGGATTAAAGGCATGCGCCACCATGCCTGGCTGATAAATCTTTTGTAAGATCACAATAGGCCACTAACCATGAATGAAAGTAGAAATTACAAAAAAATATGAAGATGAGCCAAAAGATTTTTCCTTCTTCTGACCCTCTTACTACTAGATTAAAATTCCTCTGACTCTATCCTCTTTATTTAGAATTAAACTGCGAAAGGTGAACTTCACACCTAAGAGCATATTTTTCTTCTGAACATACCTGTGCATAAAATGTATTTATTCATTTGTAAGCTTGAAAGTTTTATCAATATTTGAATATTTTAAACTTACTGAAAGTTGTTCAAACCTGTAGTAAAATGTTATAATTAACTTTATACATGGTAACAGTGGAGGATTTAGATTTAAATCTTTCTTAAGTATTCAATGTGTTGAGTGTCTACTATGTAGTAGGTGCTAGAGGTAAAACAGAACCTAGTGGATATCATCTTCCCACTTCTTGAAACTTTACAGTATGGTGGGAAAGGTTTTATCAGCTTCACAAATAAGCACCATTCACAAAAAGCATAGTGTGTTTAAAGTTAATGTGGCCTGATCTAGGAAGGAAACTGCTGGTAGTTAGCAGTCTAGGAGAGGAAGAGCATACTTAACAATGAAGAATGGAAGTATGATATGTCCTAAAATGACAATAGCTTCCTTAATACCCGAGTTGGAGCATTTTAGGTAAATGTATTTACTTGCTGAATGACTATGAAATACATGTACTACTAGCACTTCCCATTTATGAGACAGATGGGGCCAAAGAAAGTTGCTTTGAATTCACAGTGTTACCCAAAGATCCTAGGTTAACCTGTACTCAATAAAGTTAGGTACAAATATGCCCGTATCTTATTAGAGATGTGCTGTGGCAGAATCTTTAGTGTTGAAATTGGGAATACAGGGCTTCCCCGATTGTCATTTATAATTTCTTAGAAGGCCTGAACTGGAAGTTAAGTATAAAGGGAAGCTAGAACCTAATCATGCAAGGCCTTAAAACCTTGTTCCGGATCTTGGTCTTTAATAAGTGTCAGGAAAGCATTTCAGGCAGAGGAGTGGCGGCAGTATGAAAGTTGAATGGGACTAGACTTGAGTGCAATCTCTACTAATCAAACTCATTATGAGTTACTACAGGAAAGGTTCTGAATAATGTGCCTGTGGCACTAAGAATGCTAGAGAGACAGACTTGAGGGTTTCATTTCAAGTGTTCCTTTT